AATAAACTGTGCTCGGCGCTTAATTCGCAGGCCAGGATCTACGGTAAGAAAGATAAAGCGATTTTCGGATTAGATTGCCAGTGGGAAAGAATGGACCGGCGAGTAATTACCGACAGCCTGACTTTTGCGGTTGGTTTGTTGCCAGTCATTTACGCGACTGGTACTTACGTTGGGCGAACGAGAATGGGGGAGAGAGGGGGGAGGGAATTAGAGAGCTAAATTAGTAGTCGATTTTTAAATTCTAAAATCGCGGTGAACATCCGTTTTCATCCGTGTAATTCGTCGTTTGCAAACTATGGCAAATGCAGATTTTTTGCATCCTGAAGAGGATTAGCCCTGTGGGAAATTTCTGGAAAACTGCCCACAAATTGCCTCCGTGTTTTTTCTTTTTTCTCTTTTGGCCTGGGAAATTCATTTTCTGGGATGGAAAACTTTACAGATAGCTGCAAATTGCCCCATGTATACTTTGTGAGAATTACGCAGGTTTCCAAGCATTTTTCTTTACGTTCCAATCGAAAAAGAAAAAAGATAAAATTATTAGAGAAGATTGCAAAAAAAAAAACGGGAACGAAGAAGCATATATCGAATACGAATGCACCAGGCGTGAAATGTGAAATGCGAGATACGGAATGTGGAATACAGATTGTGGGATTGCACGAAAGTAACGAGACATGAATTATAAAACATAGACTGTGAGACGTAGAGTAGCGGAGAACTACGAAATGCATCTGTGAGACGTGAGATAATGTACAATATTAGATAATAAACAGAAAGTGGGATATTTCCGATTATCAATACAATCACGACAATCGTGTCTCGTCGACGAAATTTCAGTTTCCTGCAACACGCGCGTTACGTTTCATTTTTACAAAACTCACAGCTTCGTGTTTCTAAATTCAATTGTTTCGTTACAAAATACGATTCCTACGAATAAATCTGTAATAACCTCGCACGGCAACGCAGCCGTCAAAAATACGCGACAACATTTTCCATTCTGCGGGATTTATAATTCAGCAGGGGGTAGTTTTCGCCGGGAGGTGGTGCTAGACGAGCAGGAGTCGCTGGAAATCCTATCTGTCGACGAAAGGAGGAATTACTAATGCGAGCGTGCGCCAGTGTGTGTATGTATATATATATATATTATATATATATACACACATATATATATATATACATACCTGATATACAGAAGCCGTAGCATTTACATGGCGCATCGGTAATAAACACTTGCTGAGCAAACGGTGTGTGCTCGACGTTTGATTGGGCCGGGCGCGTAATGACAGGGCATTGTCATGCAAATCTTGTGGAAACCCCGCCGCTTATGGCCCCGGGGCCCATTAAGCCTGCAGGCATTCGCTTATCGTCCTGTTTGGTGACCGTAAATCGTCAATTTGCGAATCCTCCGAACTTGACAGCGCTCGCCGTCCCTCCTTGAAACGCTCCTTAATTCGCCGGCAATAGAAACGGCGACGCCGTTTGATTCACGCGGCAAACACGCTTCAGCTCGCGCTTCAGCTTTCACCCTTCGCCGAACATGCTCGGCCAAATACTCTTTGCGAGTGATTAAACCGATTTATGAGCCGATCGATGCGACGTCTGACATAGCCTTCTTCTCGAGGTTCAATTAATTCTCGCCAAGTTTAGCGATCAATCGGTTGCCAAATTCGATCGTTGCCGACTGTCGTCGGGCAGCAATTTTCTAGAAATCTGTTTACTTGCTTGCTCTCTATCAACATTCTGAAGCTGTTTTGGAAGCTCGAGCCAATTGACCCGTTTTGCATTCGAGAATTAACCAGAGAGGAACTTTTGTGTTAAAGTGAAATTACTTTACGAGGTGCGGTAACTTTTCTTTCGTCGAAATTCAGAAGCATGTCGAAAACCATGCCCAATTGCAGTTAACCTCTTTAGATGCGAGTATATTTTGGCAATTGGAGAGAAACTTTTGTGCTAAACAACGTAACGCAACAATTGGAAATACAATTTTTTTTAATTTAAAATTTATTCAGTTCCCATGAGGGAAAATTTTCACCCCTGATAAGAATTTGAGAATTACCCTCTCTAAATAATTATCAATCTTAGGGTCGTACAATAAACCGCCGCTATTTAACAAAATAATCGATTATTCGCTTAAACGAAAATCACCTGAATTTCTGTTTTCGCCATTTGTCGAATCGACGGTGGTTAATGAACCGACAAACCACGTAAGTAACGAAGCAAATAAACGAGATAGATCCATCGAACTGGCATCGATACGTTGCGGCTGTGGAAATAGAAACGAAGATAAGCCTGTACACGATTCGCCGTGATTTGTCCGGGGATTATTTCGACAAATCGAGATAACTATCCAGAAACGTTTACTCCATATAGATGCAGGTGTAGTAACCCGTTGATTAGCATGCCACCGTACGTAGATAAGCGGCCTAACCGTGACGATATAGTTGCTTCTGACAGGTCTATAGGCGATTTCACATGCGAGCGAAAATTCACGCGATTGTTGGCCCGCTAGCGTGAAATCGCTAGCACGATTATACGTTTCCAAATGAGAGATTTAAAATAAAATACACTTTGTATTACCTTTATCAATGCCGTTTATCCAGAATCGCGGTTCATTTGGATGCAAAATTTTTGTCAATTTATCGATTATTGCTTCTCCATCAATTTATCATCATCAATTGGAGAACTTTATTTTTTTCAACGGATCGAAGGAGATTCGCCTTTAATTCGAACTTTCATGTTTACTTTCAGTTTCTAGGAAATTGGAGCATTGATTAATAAATAAATGTGTCTATTAACTTTCTTTAACTAATCTTAATCTATTAACTAATCTTAATCTATTAATAATCTATTAGCTAATCTTTCGAAAATTTGATTTCATATTTCGTCGAAAATCGCAGACATCTGAGTAAATAGGACCGAGCTGCGAACTTTTATGGAAAACTTGAAGACGAAAAAAAAAAAAAAAATATCAAAGTTACTTCAAAATGAAACGAATCTGCTCTGTAGTTCCAGTGTCGTTCTCCCGAGCAGTTTGCCAGTGGAAAATGCACAAACATGCACCGAAACACGCGTCGTTTATTCCTGCCGGCGATTACCGGCGGCAGGAACGATTTTCTACGGACAATAGAAATACGTCGACTTATCCTGGGCAACAGGGCCACCGATAACCGTTATCTAGCCGGCTAGTTGGCCGATATTAGCCCGAAAATAGCAGCTACGTAAACATCATAACGTGACAGTTTCTAGAGCGCGGGATAGCTTACTTCCTAATAACAGCAGGAAGTGCAGCCAGCGAGCACAGCACTCAGGCCACGGGCCTCGTTGTTACCGCCGACGCTCCAGGCCGGCGTGACGTAGATAGGAAGCGAACAATAATTGATCGAACCCTCTAAGCTCCGGCTATAAGCTGGTGATCCTGTTATTGCAGATACGCACGGGCCACGAGCCCCGCCATCCCTCTTCCCGCGTATCTAAACGCACCCGTATTACTACAGATTTGTATCGTGACCGTGTGCGCGCGAAACTGGCGGGAGGATTCGTTCACGAGGACGATACTCGCCTGCCCGAACAAGCTCGTTCGTCAACGTCAGAACTGAATCGATAACGACGAGAACAAGAATCATCCACGATTTAAAAAACTGTCGTCACTCGTAACTCGAATGGAACGAAACAAAATCGCTTGGTCTCGGTTTCGAAAAACGCGAAGTCGAAGAGTTCTGGTTTCTTCTTTCAAAGACGTATTTTCATATCATGTAACGGAGTACTTTTATATCGGAAAATTGTCTCTGAGGAATATTGAAAGAATCTTTCTCGTAACTTGGTGCGCCACGCTGTCTCTATGATTGAAATTTTCTCTTCACGAGTCCTTGAAACTTGCTGCACGATCTTTTCGAATATTAGACGTTCCAAGGCCTCGTCGCAAAATCGTGGTGAATATTTGGTATTGGAACGACGGACATTCTGAATCATTAGGGTTAGAACGATAGAGTTTCTCGTAGTTCAACATATCAAAGTCGATAAAATGATTCGAAAAGATCGTAGAGAGTGCAACGAGTGATTTTGATCTTGAAGATCGTGGCGAGGAAAGGGGAAAAAAATTGATCTTCGTCTGAAATTTGTGTTTCGACGATACCCCGCTTCTTCCAAGGAACGATCATCCTCGACGCGTACAAATTCAACTTGCGAAAAACTCGCCCGAAAACCGCCGAACTTTGTAAATCAACACCAGAAACTACCGCCTCGCCGTTGGAACCCAAGGGGAAAGGAGAGGACATCACCTTTTTTCCCGCCTCGCTGCCTGAACTGAAATAAATTGCAGTTTAGCCAGAGGAACTGAAAGAAATAAGGGAAACGTCGTCAGCAAGCGTTGCGAGACTCTGATGGACCCGTTTGCGAGCGGTGTCAGCCGAAATTTTCAGAGGCGGCGGGAGGGGGGCCAGCGCTCGCCGGGCTGCATTGATTACGCGGCCTGTCGTTTAAACGCGACCAACCAACGGGAGCAAAGAGGAGCCAAACGAACCCCACGGGTGGGAACGAGATGAGGAGGTTAAAGAGAATATCGAGCAAGTGCTTCCTCTCTTCTCGCTGGAGAAATTGGCGGCTGGGGGGGGGGGAAGGGGGAGAGAGAGAGGGTGGCAGAAGACGGAATAATATCGTCCCGTGACGAAATCTTTCCGGTAAACTCCCTGGTGGCGTATCCCAGCCTCGGCCTGTTCTCTCCTCGAAACGAAGAGAAAATTGGAAGAGGCGACCGGTTGCGCGCGGAAGAAAAAGAAAGCGAGGAGGAGGAGGAAGTGTGTGCGCGCGCGGCCCCCTTCTGGCTTCTTGAAACGCGCGGAACGGCGCGCCGGTTCCTCGGGGACTCGCGAATGAAATTTCATTTCGGCAGCGGCCCCGTAATCTCGGGAATTGTTACTTGACTCGGGTTCGTGAAAGGAGAGCATGAAAGGGATCCTCTTGGATTCGTTCTGTAATCGACGAAATCACCTACACTTTAACCCCACCCCGCCCTCTCCACCTTTCTCTGGAATTCTCTCTCTCTCTGTCTTTCTCTCTTTCTGTCTCGAATTTTTTCTTCTCTTTTTCCGGGAATTTTTCCTCTCTCTTTCTCTCGATTTTTTTTCTTCTCGAGCCTCCCTCTTGGATTTTCCCTTTCTTCCTCCATCCTTCAGACAACGTCTGCCCCCCCCCCCCCCCCCCCCCCCCCCGTCCTCCGCTTCTTCTTCCTCTCTGGGATTGGGAACGGGAATTTTCACCGTTTCGAAACATCTACGCGGCCCGCGTAGGCCTCGCTGTTCCGCGCACCTGTGTTTTTCAATTGCTTCGAGCCTCGGCGAAGGTGCAAATGAAGCTTGATAAGGTTCCGAGAGAGTTTCGAGTGCCGCGGAATCGACGCAATCCCAGAGCAGTTTGCTCGATAGATCGGATCATTACGTGTCTGGAGAGACGCGGGCGTGTATTGGTAGAAAAAAAAAAAAAGAAAAGGGGAGATGCCTGTTTTGTTCCTCCGGTCGAGAGGATTTCGCGTGGCAAGTGTTCTCGAATTGTCTTTCGAACGAGCAGCTTGAATCTTTCTGATTTATTCTCATTACCCTCTCGGTGTGATTTATTTAACGAGCTACGAGTCTGGAATGACGCGCGCCTGCAAGAACGATCCTGTCCTGTGAAATAATTTTTATCCAGTATCGGCCGACCGATGCTTTTAATTTTCATTCGAAGCCTCTGAGATTACAATCGATCACGATACCGATCCAAACAATTCGACCAAAAAGCCGGCGGTTAACGGGGTAAAGGGACGGAGCAATAACTAAATAACATCGAGAAGCAAGCAAGGTACCCGACGATGGAAACCAATCGTCGGAGTGTAATTTCTCCGTCCTTTATCGAAAGATCCCCGGCATTGTAGCCGCGGTGAAAAGATTTGAACAGAAGTTTCTTGCGTATCGGGGCCGTAACAATGAGGCCGCAATGGCATTATGAGAGAAAGCAACGGAAGAAGTAGAAAAGAGGAGAAAGAGAAGGAGGAGGAATCAGATCGCGGAGAGACGTACGAATACGTACGCGAATTGTGCCGCGATTTCGATTGGTAGAAATAGTCGAAAATACACGAGTGAATGTCCTCGTCGCTCCACCACGCCCCGTGGCAATGCGACTTATTGTACCGGCTGCAAGTTGTAACTCTCCGCTGTCAAAACTCCGAGGCCAGAGTCAATCGCTTGGCTCTCGTTTCCGCGAGAGTTTCCTCGATAGGAGGCACGTACGCTCGGAAATAAATTTAGAAACCGGTACTCTCCCTCCTCTTCTCGGCAAGCCCCGATGCAATAATCGGAGAGCCTGCTTTATTTCCGCGGCGGCAAACGAGGTACCGCTCTAGGCTAAGAGACCATGGCCCGAAGCTTCCAATAGCAATCGTTTTAATCGTTTCGTCATATTTCGTTCCGGTCGGGAGATAGTTTAGTCCACGGGGTTCGGAGGAGTTTATTGTGACGTAGTTTAAGGACAGAGGCTGGCAAAATGTGAAGCTTGGAACTGGTCGGGCGATAGACGGAATGATGCACGATGGAATTTTTTTTTTTTTTTTTCATAGACAAAAGAGTGCAAATAAGTTCGGTAAGGTGAAATTTCACGCAGCGTAATTTGAAGTATATCTTGTATTGTGAGAAATTTAGATCGTGGTTTGTAGTTTAGTTTAAATCAATTTTAAAGATATTACTGGCGAAATAAAATTTACAATTTTACAATTTGACAACTTTACAATTTTATAATTTTACAATTTTGCACTTTTACAATTTTACAAATTTGAAATAAAAATCTTTTTTGGAACTTTAAAGATATTAATAGTGAAATAAAATAAAATGATGCACGATGGAATCTTTTTTCATAGACAAAAGAGTGCAAATAAGTTTGGTAAAGTGAAATTTCACGCAGCGTAATTTGAAGTATATCTTGTATTGTGAGAAATTTAGATCGTGGTTTGTAGTTTAGTTTAACTCAATTTTAAAGATATCACTAGTGAAATTTACAATTTTACAACTTTACAATTTTACAACTTTGCAATTTTACAATTTTACAAATTTGAAATACAAATTTTTTTACAACTTTAAAAATATTAACAGTGAAATAAAATTGTACTAAAGAAATCTTCGTATCAAATACAGATCCTGCACGGATTCTGTATAATTCTAATCATAAACACAGCACCTTCGCAATCCCATCCTCCCGAAAGCTCGCGATTTTACGACAAAATTGTCACCGCGAGACTTGCAGACGGAACAACAGTTGACAAAAGTTGGAGAATTCGAGCACCGATGCGGACGGAACGATGATCCTCCGGTTCGAAACGAAATCTGCCAAGCCCGCGGTGGGGCGGCTATGGGGGGAGGGGAGGGGGGATTAAAACTGTTGCAATTTATTCAACGCGAAAGCGGAATGGCCGCGGGATTGCACGCTATCGGGCCATAACAATTATTAGCGTTGCGACGCGGCGCGCAAGTGATACAATAATATGCATAGGAGAGAGGCTTACAGCGTTTCCATTACATTAGCCTTTCGCGCGAGCACGCGGTCGCGTCAAACGATCCGGAAATAAAGCGGAATTGCATATCGGAAACTTGGTTGGCTGGCTGCTGGCCAGCCAGTGGCAAACCTCCTAATTCTCTCCGTTCGAAAAATCCGTCGCTTCGGTCGAATAGGGGCCCCTAAGTTTCCCAACAAAGATTGAGGGATACGGTGAAGAAGCGTTCCACGTTCTCTCAGTTTCGAGAGACGAGAAACTAATCAAGGATGTCGAATTTTCTCTCGACGACGTTGACGATACATTTACTGCCCCCGCGATATTTATTTGAAACGAGCTTCTGAAAATTGATTTTGAAAAATTGCTGGAGCAATTTGAATCTTCGTAGAGAGACGCTTTTTGTTATCGACACTGTTGCAACGTATCGCGATGGATAAATTTACAGCAACCGATGGATTCGCGCGCGAAACCAAACCAACGGACACTTGTAAAATCTAACGCCCCGTGCGAGCGTGTTTTAAACCAGCTCTGAACTTTATCTATCCACGTGGTACGTATAAAGATCTCGAATTGTAATGGCAACGAGGTAATGGTACATTGAACAAGACCGTACTATCGATACGAGTCATTTTGCGGTGCATAAAACGTACCGGGGTGTACAAACTGTGCCACCAAACGAAATAAACGGCGGTCGGTCAATAAGCTCGGATTGTAAATTTTTACCAAACCATCGGCCAAAGAAACGACGAAATTCGACCAGAAATTTGTCGTCGTCCAAGGTACCATTTTTCGGAAATACTCCAAAATATCAATCTCCGATCGCTCTGGTCGTTTAATCTTCTCTCTGCACCGCGATATGATACAAGTTTCGAGAATTTCTCTGGAACTACGACACGTGTAACGCGTAAAGCAGTTGGAAAAATTCTTCGGTCTTTACAGGAGTGCGTTCACCGAGAAGATTTACGATATGCTATTTCGATGTTGAGCGACAAGCGCGGATCGAACGACGCGAGGTTGGCGCGGGCGGCTGATTTTCGCGAATGAATCGGCCGGAGTTATGAAAACGCTGGTCGGCCAGCAGCCGACAGGCTACACGATGTCTTTCAAAAGAAAATCCATTTACCGCAGGAACCGGGTTCTGGGCCGTGTCCAAGATACTCTAATGGCGGCCATTGCTATCGGTGCAATTGCCGCTGCTACTGGCAGCGGCCCGATTATACCGCGAGCTGATATCGTTACGTGAAAGCGATGGCAATTGCCGATATATACACTTTTCAGACATATTCATAAGCTCCGCGCGCGCGTGAAATAGTGCGTCTCTCTCTCTCTCTCTCTCTCTCTTTCTCTTTCTCTTTCTGGATACGACGGCAATCAATACATCGAGTCGTTTGGTTATCGACACGTCTCTCTCCGATCCGATTCAGGCGTCTCGCGAATTTTTCCCAACAACGATGTAAGCGGTAATTCACCTTTCGAGATCGTGGTTAAATATTTCGTGGACGAGAAAGTCTCGTTCGTTGCAGCGAGAAGTACCAGACTTGGTACTGTTGGTCTAGTCTCGAAACGTAAATCAGAGCTTACGATTATAGGTGTTCTGGAACAGAACATGCTAGTCGGACAAGGTAAACGACAGTTACGACAGCCATAACTCACACCAATATCTGGCAAGGGATTTTATTGACGGTCAAAGCAATAATCATGACGACTTTCCCAATTTCCCTTTCGTCCCTTCTAATTGCACTTTCTCCTGCATTGAGGAAGGGACTGGGATATGGAAAAGAATCGGCACGAGCAAAGCACAGGAAAGAGCCTCTAGGAGACACCTTTGCCCGAGATAGTCTGTTAAGCACGCAGTCACGATAGGAGCTCATCTCATACAGCAATCATACAGTACACAGCATCAGTCATCATTCAACCTTGTATACAGTTGTTAAACATAAGTGTTTAACCTGTATTTGCAAACCTCTCTCCGACGGAAGTGAAAAACCGAACGAGAGAATTATCGGCACTTCACGAACAACATACACACATTGTATGGCTTGTGCCCACACAATAGGTATGTGAGTGCATGAAGCAAAACCTAAGAGAATATTCAGACTTACTCGAACATTGTCAAACTGTTCGTTAAAAACCACGTGGGTTTAATTTCGTTATCTCCCCCCGAGAATTCAAATTTCAACCGAGACAAGCTTTCCGAGAATTATTATTTCACGCGAACGTGAACGTGATTATGGTAGAAATGCCGGCGAGACGATGCCGGCGCGAAACTGGTCGTTCGAAAATCTGGAAATTCGACCAAAGGGCCGAAAAGGGCTTCTGGCTCCGGCGTTCGTAAGGTCTCGCTTGCCGAGCCGGATCTGGAAACTCTGAGACTGGCCGCGTCGAATCTGCGTGCACGCATCGTTCTGTGTTTCAGCGGACTTAGCGAGACGGCCATAGCGAGACAGAGAAAGAGAAACAGAGTATGGTAGTAAGGGGGTGGCGAAGGACAGAGGGGGAGGATTAGTGGAGCCGGTGCCACCGGAATTGTTACCGGTTGCTTCGCGTCGTTCGCAAAAGCAACGAGGAGGCTCTCCCTGGTTCTGTGTCCGGCGCAGCCTTATTTCCTGGCATTACGATCTCTCGGCGCAAAAGCGCGGACAGAGGGGCGGCAAAGTCGATTCGCCCGGCCGCTTCGTTTGATTACACTGTGGCCCGCGATCCGATTACACCCCCTCTTTCCCCGCAGGCTTGGCCAGCGCAGCGTACCTTGTACGAGTTCGCGCGAACTTTCCGACGAAAGACGCAGGACGCGCGGACACGTGTGTGCAGCAATGGACGCCAGTCCCGTTGACGTGGATTTTTAACGTGGTTTATTCGACGGCCCACCTGGATCCACCTTCTCTATTTTTTTTGCGAAGTGACTTTCTTTCCTTCGCCATTCTCATGGAACTTTGTACATTGTTCGGGAATCGAACAAGGAACGTACTCGATCTAACATTCAAAGTCGAGAGACGAAACGGCGTGAAAGAAGTCGTGCAGCTTTCAGTTTTTCGAGACCGTGATGGCAAATACAAATTTTTGAAACGTAAGACCAATCGCGATACACATTAAACTCGCCGTTCGAGGAATTCGTGAATTTTCACCCTCGATTTCGCTGCACTCTCGCCGCCGACGGTCTCGATAACTTAATTAATGATCTCACTCGAGCAATACTTCTCCACCTTGGGAGATATCTAACTCCTGGTGAAATGTACAATAAGGCTATTAATCACGCGGCCCTCCCCATTCAGACTTATTGGTCGCGTATTCCGGAAGTTGGCGTACTCGTGACTCCTATTCTTCGCCGAAATTTCATCGGCCGTCCATTATCATCGCGTCCCAGTAACCTAATTTGCGGGCCAGGAGATTAATCGTATAATTCAAGTTCGGTAGAAGCAGAGACGCTCGACTGATAACGTGTATATATGTATATATATATATATATATGTGTGTGTGTGTGTGTGCATATACATATATGTATACAGTATGTACATACATACAAGAGAGAGAGAGAGAGAGAGGGGATACCATTATAGTCAGCTCTGCTCGATTTCATCGTTCCCCACGAATAAGAGCGTAAATCAGACAGAAGAGAGAATTAGATCGCGAACGTTCGCCTCCGCGGAACGTGAAGCCGATTCTAATAGTCGTCTTTCCATTTCCCTGCAATTTTTCCATAGATTATCCGTAAATTTCCTTTTCAGACTGACGTTCCTCCTCGGGGTTCTACATTTATAATTAGCAGTTCTCAGGAAACCAGTTGTAATCTGACGGAATTTCTCCTAAAAATTTACATATTTCCCTTGGCACAAGCGAGAGTAAAGAAACACATTGCAAACGAGAAATTTCGGGTTTCTCGGGTATATTTGGAAATATACCTTCTCGATTCCTCGAGTCGTCGCTACGTTTGGAAAAGTTCACTCGACGACAGACGAATCGTTAATCGTTTCCACTTCAGTTGCTTCCTCAATCGACAATTTTGCCTCGTTTGTTATTTACAGGAACACCGACCACCGCTTCGTTACCTTATTATCCTCCGATAAATAATCCTTTGCCGATGTTCTACATCTACCGGTCTCTTATTCTCAATAATCTCGAGCGTGCGATCAATTTGTATCGCGGCTGTGCCCATTAGTTACTGCCAGCCTCTTCTCTCTCTTTCTCTCTCTCTATCTCTAACTCTCTGCGATAAAGAAACGAAAAGAAGCTTCATCGTTTCGAATAATTTCCATTTATTTGCAATAGTTTATCGATTCGGAGACGTCTCTCGTTATCCTCTCTTGTTAGCGCGCGGCCCGCGCGGAGAAAAAAGGTGGACCTTCTTTCTTTTTGACATCTGGATTCTCCGCGCGCGGATACGTCGGCCGATCGAACGATGGCGCCAATGTTCGTCGCCAGGGGTAGAGATGGGATCGAGCACCTCGCAAGACGGTTCGAATCATTCGACAAATATTTCCAGCAATATTTCGCAAGCACGTACTTAGAGTCCATGTTTGCACGAACGAATCCTCGCGAGTACTCGAGAGGATATGAAAATACAATACTTTCAAATAAACTCTGACATCTCTCGAGTCGTTCGTTTTTTCATTTAACGAAGTTTTCTATTTTCTATTTCGCTGAAATTGCTTCGAATCTACCGGAAAAACGACTGACTCGTAGGGGAAACGAGTGATTCGAGGAATCTCTGAGTGTTTATCGATACACGAGCGATAATTTTCGATATATTTCGGATCCCGATTTTCTACGAGCTTGCGAGCGAAAACGATTTTTACAGTTTTACAAAGAGAGCGAATTGGAAACTTGACTGGGACCTCGCGAACGCGTACGTGTTGAACTCGACGCCATCCGTAGGCGACAATCACCCCGATCGGGAGGAACAATCGAAAACGAGTATCGAGGCCAGAAGAGACAATCGTCGTCCGACCGGATGGACTTTGTCGCTTCCACCTCCGATTATCCTTTGACCGACCTACGGATGAGACAATAATATGAGAGAGCCACTCGTCGAAAAGATAAGAGGAGAGCTCGAGCGCGATGGTAAGCGAGGACGAGAACCCCGGAACCGTTATTTCTCGTTATCGGTTGTTACGTGTGCGAAACAAACGAATCCGACGACGACGACAACCCTTTGTGCTCCTGACGAGCACCGAATCCACCCGCGACAATACACTCTTTTTGTTTCTATCCTGCTCTCGCCGCTCTTCCATCGGGGCAAACTTTCGAAAAAGATCCCATCGATCCGAGAGAAACTGGTTTATGGCCTCTGCACAATGCCCGTCACCGTTGAACATCGACGAATCTTTCGACTAATTGCGATTGAGATGATGAACAGTTCAAGTAGGCGTTTGGAAATTATTCGTGGACAGCCTTTGCACTCTTCTGAGAGGATATCGTACTCAAATCTAGCCAACAGCTCGCACTATCTCTTTCCATAATTTGCTGATAATTGTAACAAAACGTATACATTTCGTAAGAGTACAGATGCCTAGAAGCTATAATAACGACGTAGGAAGAACAAAAGTATTTCAGAACAAATTTCTGAAAAATATCGTCTCTCCACAAACTAGGCTTGTTGTTATTTTTCATGAAAGTTTAAAAACTAGCGGAGGATATTGCTTTCTTACAGATTAAAACATTAACTCTATTTCGTGTTAAATATCATTTGAATGATTATTTCCAATGCTATATCATTTTTATCATTTGAAACGACGACGATTTGTAAATAAATTGCTGGTAGCTGATACAAAAAAATGGTTTGGCAATTATTATGTCGACTTTTAAGGGCAAGAAATTTGTGTTTGCTGAGATTCTCGACAAGTTTAGACCTTTGGGGATACTGAAATATTTGCTGCTGTGTTAAATTAACGTCGATTCTTCGATGCTAAATATATTATTTGTGTTTTCACTCATCAGGAAGAAAGAAAAACGAAAGTAAAATTTGTTCCAATACACGACACGTGTAGGGAGAAGGAAACAGAAAACATAAACTATTTTAAAAAATTTTTCAATACCTCAGAGTATATCTACGCGTTAGTTGCGCATATGTATCCTTGCAGATATATTCTAGAAATAGCTAGTAAAATGAAGAAAAGATTTACCTTCAAATTTCCATTTCGAAACTTTTCGAATCTACAAACACACATCTACAACTCATTGTCCGCTATCGAATCTCCAAAGACACAGCTTGTCGAAGACAATTGAAATTGTAAAATGTTGTAAGATCATTCGCCACGGGCAAGGTTGCTTGACGAGGAATCAGTCAAACGACAAACCAAGAAAGAGAGACAGAGAGAGAGAGAGAGAGATAGAAATTGAAAGCCCATCGAACTGTCGCAAAAGATCGTGTCCCGCAGTCAAAGAATCCTCGACAAACGACGGATCCCGAGGCGACGTTCAGGCGGTAAACGTCGAAGTAAAAGCAAAAGAAGAGAAAAGAAAGGAAAGAAGGTCTGTCTCTCTCTCTCTCTCTCTCTCTCTCTCTCTCTCTCTCTCTCGCACACACACACGTACATCTCGCTGTTCGCAATCGTCATCTCGGATCAATCACGGAGTACGGCTAACGTAATCGGAAAGTCCTTTATATCCGG